CTGTCTGTCTGTCTGTATGTATGTATGTATGTACGTATGTCTGTATGTATGTCTGTATGTGTATGTATGTGTATGTATGTATATGTATGTATATGTATGTATATGTATGTATATGTATGTATATGTATCTGTATGTATGTCTGCATGTATGTATGTATGTATGTATGTATGCATGTATGTATGTATGTATGTATGTATCTGTGTGTCTGTATGTATGTATGTATGTATGTATGTATGCATGTATGTATGTATGTATGTATGTATGTGTGTATGTATGTACGTATGTATGTATGTATGTACGTATGTATCTATGTAAGCATGTGTGTGTATATGTATTTTTGTACGCATGTATGTATGTATGTATGTATGTATGTATGTGTATATGTATGTGTGTAGGTGTGTTTGTTTGTGTGTGTGTATGTATGTATGTATGTATGTATGTATGCATGCCTGTATGTCCACAGTGTGCATGCTCATGCTGTTGTGCATTTCTCTCCTCTTTTTGCATACATGCCAGAGCAAGGTTAAGCTTAGCTGTTAGACGCAGCTACAAAATGCACACATGCATGTTTGGATTGATGCATATGTTTGCATCCAGTTCTGCTCATCTGTGTATTTACTCTTATGAGTATGAATGTATATGTGTGTGTATATATACATATGTACACGCACGCCGCGTTTCGTTATGACCGTTGTTGAACGGAGCTTCCGCCAGCATGCCAAGTATTCTATAGTAGTTTGCTAGAAGTCAGAAGACGTTTTGCCTTTTGTTCTTGAAGCAGGTGTTCTGGCAATTGAAGATGCACATGCTGCATAAAACCTAATTACGGAGGCGACTACTACGACTACTACTACGATGACGACTCCTGCTAGTAATTCTTGTGGTATTAGTCTTGGCATGACTGTAATTTTTGATGTTCCCACTACTACGAATGGTTGCCAGTGACGGAAATTGGGCCGAAATAGAAACGAATTTAGGGCTCCCCGCGTTTGCAATACAGAGAGTGCTCCCTCTTGGGAACACCTCCCAGCCCGAGCATCCCTAAGCCAAAGCCTTTAAGCCCAAACCCTGCATAAGTCCTAAACCACGACCTTGGGCAGCTCCAAACGAGCTTGTGGACCAAATGCAAAGCCCCATGACCTTGAACTCCCTCGCCGTAGAGCACCCCCAAATCCAGACGTCCAGATCCTGAAGCCATATATACACCTTCAGCCGCGAGACCGCAATAGGGTTTATGTTTTGGTATGCCCCTGAAATTGATGCGGAGGCCTTAGTTTCTAAAACACCAGTCTCCAAGCCCCATAAACCCTACACCCTCTGCCCTCAACATATCTCAACCATAGAAAACTCGAAATGCCACCAACCACACCCTGTACCTTCCTGTGAACCTTGCTGGATCTCAGAAGCCCTATGCCCAAGACCCGCCTCTAAACCCTCTGAAGCCCTACCCCATGCTCGCCGCAGCATTTTGGCTTCAGGGTCAGGGCAGTGCCCAGGCCCAAGGACGAGCCAAAACCAAAGATGGCAGCTTGGCCGACTTCGGCGCCTGATATTAATATCTTGTTATAAAAGAATAGCGTACCTTAAGGAACAGTATCGGTGATTATGCATACCTCGAATTCTTTGCATTTCGCACCCATATTTTTGGAAGTATGTGCTGATTATATGTGCTACTCAACCCTTCGGGATGCTTACTCTGCAATCCGAAGCCTTTTGGTTCTAGACCTCGAGCTGAACTTGGAAACCCTGCACTTGTGTTTATCGCTTAGGGGTTCTCGTGTCTTGACCTGAAGAGTCGGCTCAAAGCATGAGATGCCCTCAAACGGTTTAGGGTTTAGGGGCTTAGGGTTTTAGGGTTTTTTGTTACGAAGTGGGTTGCCGTAGGCGACCTGCAGGGACTCAGCAAAGTTCAGGGCAGTTTTCGGTTACATGCAGCTATACCGGAGGATCCAAAACCCACTTTTGCCAGGGCTATACCCTTTAATCCAGGGGTTATGTTTGGGCTGCAGGTAGCCTCCAATCACCTGAGGTCCATGCTTTGCGAGAGACTAGCATTGCCATTGCAGCTACATGACCAGGGGGCTCAGGATTGGGGGCCGTGGCTTGCTAGAAAGAAAAGGAGACAAGCAAACCTAACCCGCAAGCCCGAAACCCGACACCCTGCCCTGAGTCCAAGGCAATGAAGCTCCCCGTGTTGGTGGCGTTTCTCTCCCTCGCCCACCTGGCACGGTCGGACGAGAATGACGTCACCATCGGCACCTCGCATAGAATTTGGCAGAAGATGACAAGATGGCTGCTTTGACATACTAGCAGTGCTCGAAGTCTGCGAAAGTGGTAGATGCCGCGGTAGGAAGCACAAGACAAATAAATCTCGTGAAACCACCTTGTCATCCTCGAGTTGCTATAACTTGTGGCATGGCATCACGCGAACCACGTCGATCGACTGCTTTCAGTTCTTGGCATTCAGAGGATATGAGACCCAGAAGAACTCCCAAGCTGATGAGAACCATGCTCGAAAGTTCTGAAAGCCCTGGCAGACCCCAACCCTTAAACCTAGACTACTCTCAATCCTTTCACGACAGGGCCCTATTCAATTCCCGGCCTTCCCCCATTCGACAACCCCCAGCACTCAAAGCACATTCCGCAAAACCCAAAGATATCACTCGCGGCTTTTCATGCCTATATCTACTTAATCTACTTACTACGGATTGCGGGAGGGAGGAGCAAGGGCAAGAGCAGCAGCAGCCCCAAATTAACAGCGGAAGCCTAGAAACCCAACCCCGGGTGAAGAACTCCTCAGGTGCCGGGGTCACCCCCGTGCAGAAGGTCCTCGACCTTTTGGCTTCGATGAAAGTGAGGGGCGAGGACGGCTCTTTAGGGTTAGCGGTTGGAGTTTAGTGCTTGGAGTTTAGAGTTTAGCAGTTTAGCGTTTGGCGTTTGGGTTAGGGTTTCCGGTTTACGGACTTTTCTGATAGGAGCGAGGACGGCTCTTTAGAACAATGCAGGGCGGTTTGCAGGTTTTTTCTTGTGGGTACCCAAACCCCCGTTGGGGTTCCCCACTTCCATGTGACACCTGCTTGTATCACCAGGAAGAGAAGCAAAAGGAAGCCCTGCAGTATGCCAAGTACGAGCAGTTCTGCGCGAATACACAGGCCTGCCTGGGACTTTGGATGTCTACGAGCTCAAATGCATTGTTGATGTTTTGGATTTTGCGCTGTCATGTCACCGTCAAATCGCCGTCGCGAGTTCCCAGTTGGACATCCTCAGGTTGTTTTACCTTGCCCTCATCCTCCAGATGGTCTGTAGCGAGGTTTTCGGTTGTCGACAGAAGCAGCAAAGATCGCCTAAGCGCTTGAAGCTGTCGGGTTGTTACTCTTTTTGCGGTTACCATCACGGAGGCCATTCGTTTACTACAATCACTGCAGGCGTGGTTCTCCACATTGCTGTCTCTTTTGGTTGGACACCCACAGGTTTTTTTGCAACTAATTCTGCTTCTAGGAGAGGCGCTATTTTGAAGGATGCCTGGCAAGTCATTGTCAAGTCCGGAGCTTTACAGTGACTGCTCTTGTGATTCGAGTGGTTTGAGCCTGGTAGGAGAGACAGTGGTAAGCTTCAGTGTTTCAGATTTTCTGCGTGTGGCTGTAGCCATCCTTTGCCGGCTTCTTTGTAGAACCACATCCCGTCTTCCCGGCCCATGCTTGAGAGCTCGTCGGTATATCTGTCACGCAGGAGGAGAAACAGAAGTCACTGAAGGCCCGCCGGCATTGAACTGTTGGGGCTTTGGGTTTTTGGGTTGCAAGGAGGGTTCAAGACCCGGCTGCTCGTCTTGAACATGTCGGCCCTGACCCGAAGTTTTCCAGCTTGCGGAAGGTGCAGAAGCGAAAACACGAGTTACTGGTATATGCACAAAAGGTAGTTTAACTACTCAGAGTTGTACACAGTACCTATTAGTGTTACTGTCGTCGTGGTTGTGGTGGTGGTTGTTGTTGGTGGTGGTGGTGGTGGTGTTGTCGTCGTCGTCGTCGTGGTGGTTGTTGTTGTTGTCGTTGTTGATTCCTGTTGGGTTTAGGAAAGCGTGGAGCGACTAGTGCCTGCAGGGCGTAGCGTGCTCGAAAGAACATGTGAAGCAATCGTTGGCTCGGGTTGACAGTAGGCCCGAATCTCGAAATCCGAAACCCAATCCGAAGCATGGGTTTTGCAGTCGGAAAACAGGCCTTCAAAGAAAAAGGCACAACCTAAAATTAAAAACACCGAAAATGTCGAGTCTCGGACCCCCGTCCCTTTAAGCTTCCTCTAGTTGAGGACTACCAATAAGCCTCCATTCTAGTTCCTTGTTTGTACCTTAAAGGTTCCTAAATGTGAATCTGGTTACCTCTAGCCTCCATTGTAGTTACAGTTCCTCTTTTGAGGTTTAACCAGTTTGATATTTAGGATCCTATAAGGTAACCCCACCAAAGAACTACAATGGAGACTGAGGTAGAGGCTGGGCTCAAAGGCCGAAGTAAGGTAACTATTGGAAGTGAAGGAGCTGGGGCTTTGGATCTGAAGTTAAAGAAGCTGTGGAGGCTTCGGGTGCTAGCGCGGCGTGCAGGGGGTTATTTTTTGTTTTTCAAGTTGGGGTGGAGAGGGGGGTGGTTATGTTTTAGAGTCCCTAAACCCTAAATCCTATATTATAAACCCTAAACCGGTTATGTCTTAGAGTTTCCAGGGTTTTCGGACTTGGGGTTGCAAGCCTCGGGTTCCGACCCCCGGGTGAGAGTCAAATGTCGGTGATGACCGCGAGCGGCGTTTGTGGCCATGGCGTTGGCACGGACGTGTATACAGCGTTGAGGCTTAAGGAATTCGGAGCCCAAATCCGGCACGACTCTAAATATTAAAACCTCTGTGCTCCTGCTGCCCCAGCCCCGGAACTGCAAGAAGAGCTTTTTGACTTCCCGTAGGTCGAAAGTCAGACAGCATCGGTTCAGGACACTGCTTCCCAGATTGAGATCTTGAAAGCAGACCTTGGCAAGCCTCCTGCCTGTTACCAATGGGGCCTTGTGGTTGCGGGGTTCAAGCTTATCCTTTAGAGCCTCAGGGGTTGCAAGAACGCTGTTGAGTCATCCTGGTCTGGTCGAGATTCATGATCTTATGGAGTTCACAGCATTTCGTGCAGAAAGACCTAACCAACAATGCCAAGGTTCCTAAAACAAGGGGACTTTCCTCCACTATCTTGGCTGTGTTATTCCACCTGGTTCTTCGCAGGCATGTGAGTTTTCTTCCAACTTCATATGATCATAGGATTGTGTACTATGTCTGCGTGGGGATTGTAAGGTGGACTGTGGTGCCTTCATGTGCCTCTTAGCTACCAGATGGTTGGTAATCGATGTTACTTTTCGTGGCTCTGATTACACACCGTGGTACTCCTTGGGTCCCATTACAGACTCCTTAGCCTTATCTCCCAACCCTCATGTCAATACCACAGCCTACAGGCGATTCATGAACCGAACCCAAGAAGGATCAAGGAACCCCTCTACAGACTCCGAAACCCCTCAATCCAGCACCACAGCGCTTCCACCTTTATTTAAGGAGCAGTATTTTCGTAAGTACGGGGCTTGGGAGCCACTGGGAGACCGCACCCCAAGCCCAAAATCCAAAACAGGACCCAAGACCAAGAACCCAAAACCCGAAACCATGAAACCCAAACCCTAAGCCCTAAACCCCCTAAACCCTAAGCCCGAAACCCCTAACCCCTATAAGCCCTAAACCCTAAGCCCTAAACCCCTATAACCCAACTCTGAGGATTTCTTCGGACATCGCTGATGCCGAGGCAACGCTGCCGGACCTGACAAAGGACCCCCGAGTTGCAAATGGGGTTTAGGGGTTTAGGGGTTTAGGGGTTTTAGGTTTAGGGGTTTCGGGTTTAGGAGTTTTAGAGGTTTAGGGGGTTTAGGTTTAGGGTTTAGAGTTTGGGGTTCACGGTTTAGGGTATCGGGTCTAGGGTCTAGGGTTATGGCGGGTTAAGGTAGGGTTTAGGGTTTAGGCGGGTTAAGGTTTGGGGTTTAGGGTTTTAAGTGGTCTAGGTGGGGTTTAGGGCTTAGGCGGGTTAAGGTTCAGGGTTTAGGGGGTTTGGGGTTTGGGGTTTGGGCGGGTTAAGGATTGTAAGGTTTAGGGCTTACATATAGGGATGCTATACCGCTGATCTGATCTTTGAGATTAGGGTTTAGGGATGTTTGGGTTTAGGCTTGTTTCTTATGTGGCAGCGTAGTATGTTGACTTGGGGCTCTGATCTGGCTCACAGTGGCTTCATAGCAGTGCAGTTTGGATGATAGATGCATGGTTTCACAAAGTTTGGGGGGTCCAGTACTGGGTGGAGAAAAATACTAAAGAATTGCAGATCCTCGAGCCCTATTTCAAGTGTCCAAGCCCTTATGGTAGACCCTGAGCCGTAGGCCCTTCTAGAACTCTTAAAGAAGCCCTAAACCCCTAAGCCCTAAGTACCCTAAGTAGCCTAAATCCCACTCCAAGCGTTAAGGCCCATCTATTGCCTCTTGATGGGGCATCTATGATCTGCGGAGCTCGAGGGTTTGTCCATGTTCAGTGCGGGCTTGTAGTCAGTACGGTGGTTTAAGGTTTCACTTGCTGATAAGGTGTTATAGGGTACCTTATGTGGTTAGGGTCTAGGGCTTAGGGTATATAGGCGTTAGAGTCGATGATATTTCAGTGACTTTGGTTGTCACTTTGCATGAGTTCGGAGTACGGAGAGCAACATAGGTACTTCAAGATAGGGCCTGGGTTCACGAGCAGTAGGAATGAAGCTTGAAGATGGACCGAAGTCTTGAATTGCTATGCCGTGTTTATTCTGTCACACAGCTTCATGGCACCCTGAAGACAAACGACCTCGAAGTTGGCTTCAGCTCAAAGGCTTAACATGCTTTAAGGGTTTACCTTAACCTACCAAAACCTACTTTTTTGTAGGGTCCCTGTTGGGGGTTGTAATAAGAACCTACAAAATAGTAGGTTTTAGTAGGTTAAGGTAGGGTTTGGGCTTCAGGTTTTGGGTTTCGGGTAAGGCACTCCCCGCCCAACTCCCCAACGCCTTGTTTGGAAAGGACATCGACAAGTGGACCGCAGACAAGGACACCCAGGGCCCCTGAGCCCTAAGCATCCTTCATATAAGCTTTCCCCTGAGTCTGAAGCCTTTTCTGTAAGCACTGAACCGTACCTTAACCTCAGATATCCTACAGTGTTATAGACACAGATTAATCAATCATAATAAGGAACCCAAAAAGATATGTTTCATGGGGTTCAGGCAGACCCCAAAGTAAACAGACTTCAGACAGCAAAGTAGGTACTACGGTTGATGATATAAATCCTGCATTACAATTAAGGACCCTAAACTATGGGAATTCTGGTCTATTCCATAGTATGGGTAATGATTTACAGGATTTATACCCTCAACCGTATTTGTAGTCCCTGAACCCTAAACCCTAAACCCTAACCCCTAAACCCTCAACCGTTTCTTGTAGTCTTGGAGTCTGAGATTTTGTTCAAGGACACAGCGGGGAAGGAGCGCCAGGAAGAGCGCTTGGCTTACACGAAGGCGGCAGCCGAAGCCGAAGGTCTTGGCGGTTTGGGGTTTATAGGGCTTTAGGGTTTAGGGTTTAGGGTTTAGGGGTTGGGGCGGTTTGGGTTTAGGGGTTTAGGGTTTGCTGTCAGAAAAAGGACAGCAAGGCCGACATTGATATGAATCTTGACGTAGAGGACCTCCCAAATCCACGGCCGCAGTGCTACTGATGCATGCCTGCCTGCAGGGATCGAAACGTAATGAGGGGAATGGGATTGCATAGTGGCGAAACGTAAACCCACCTACAGTTACAACAAGTAGTTGTCGTATAGTTATATTCTCCAAATTCTAACTTAAATGCTCAAATCCTTATCCCCAAACCTGCCCTCAACCCGAAACCGACGGGTGATCGAAGCTGGGAGGCTGAGGGTCCTCGTGGCATGCCCGAAACTCCGAAAGCCCCCAAGCCTATAACCCACTAACGCAGCCAAGCCTGAGCATGTAACGCTTAAGACCTTCAAAACGGGATCACTATGACTTCCGTGAACCCTAAACTCTCTAACACACCCGCTCACTTCCCTTGCTTATCCCTTGCCCTTCTGCATCGCTTCTTGCAGAGTTCCAACGGCCCAAGATTGCCTGGTGAAGAACACACCTTAAGAATGCATTATGCGGTGACCGTGTTGTAAACACAGCACACCCATGCATTTAGAGTTTTATGTGTCGATCGATGTATATACATATATATATATACATATATATACACACACACATATATATATATATATATATAACTCCTATCATTTTGAAGGGAGCTGTGAACCTGTTGTGGCATTGTCAAGGATTTTGAGTTGCAGGTCCCCAAATTCCAGAAGCCCCAAAACTCTAAACGTCAAAAAAGCCGTAGGTCCTACGCCAAAGCGCAAAAAAGGCACCTAAATCCGTAGGTTCTAGGGGAGGGGGAATTAAACCGAACCGTAAACCCTAAAGCCAAAAGTGTAACCCTACAGTCACCCGAAAATGTTTGAAGTCCGTCTCCAGGCGCATGGCGAGTACCTGAAGGCTGGAACTTGCCTCCCCCCAAAGGATTCCCAAAGGTTCGGATTTATAGTAGGGTTTAGGGTAGGTTCATGCACCCTCAGGCCCGTGGGGTTGTTGTGCTGCGCTTCCTTTCTATGGAGAGGTCTGATTCAGAAACCGACATCTGTTGGCTTCCGGGCAGGCGATCCAGAATGTTGGGAAGGCCTACACCACGCTGAAATCCCAGGAGCTACCAGGGCAGTGCAGCGGGGGAACCGCAACCCGAAGAAGCCAAGAAGTTTAGGGCTTCAGTTCAGGCTTGGGCTGTAATATAGGAGCCTGGCTTAGAAAGCTCGGGTTCTTCATTAGGGATCATTATAGTGGGCCTAAAATGTGTTGGGGAAATGGGACCAGGCTTTCTTCATCAGGTTCCTACATTCTGCTAAATTGGTGCCCGGCAGTTTCGGGGGTTGCTGGATGCGTATCGCCGAACGTAAGCCCTAAACTCGTTAAGGCCTTTACAAACCATAGCTTGAACCTGAAGCCCTGTCGAGCCTCTATAAAAGCTTCACAAAGGCTTCTTACAACCTTAGTCAGTCGATGTTTCGCACCTGGCGAGGACGTGGACAAGGAGCAGGCCCCTTGTGGTCAAAAGTTGTCTGCTTCGTCCTAGGACGCGGCTTGGGGTATAGGGCTTTGGGTTCAGGGGTTTAACATTTTGTGGCTTAACTTGTTCGGACAAGCTTCTGCCAGCAAAGCTCGCAAAAAGGACGTCAAGTACATCCCACAATCATTCCTCATTTTCCCAGGCGTTTCATCTCCTTGTTGGTGGCTAATTATCGATTAGCACTGCCAGGGTTGAGCCGAGAGCCATTGGAGCGTTTTTGTGTAGACCCTGATTGGGTGTAAGAGGGCCCCCTAGAAATTGCCTTAAACCCTGGGGTATTGTTGGGTGCAAGAGGATCTCGTGTAGAGATACTGTTCTAGCGGGGCAACCTATGTAGCTTGCTTTTGGCGTAGCCTACCGGCCTGCTTCTAGCTTCTACGTGGAATTAAGGCTACGGCTCTTCTGTAGTTCGTCCAAGTTTCCTGGGCGTTCCGGTCCTTCGTTTAGACGTGCAATGAAAAGCTAGCTTGTACCTACCCCGCACTTGCCGAAACATGCAATTGCAATTGCCAAACGGATGAGTGTGAACCATTAGCTCTGGCCCTGGATACCCTAATCCCTGCACCTGCTTGCGGCAACAATAATGAACCCCCAACAGTACTACGGGTACTGCATGGAGAACGATACGCTTTTGCCAATCCTCTGGGCCTCAAGCCCCAACTACAACCGTGGCGTTCCTAAACCCTAACCGGCCCTAACCCCGAGACGCCTCAATTCTAATCATCCCTAAATGCTCAACCCCTTTTTTCCTGCGAGGTCGTAGACTCCTAATTGTGAGGCTCCTAGACTCCTATAAGTTTAAATCCTAGACCCCGACAATCCCAGGCCAAGTCCTTCATCCAGTTCCCGGATCTACTGGAGGAGGGCACGGATGGGGTCTCCGCCGAGGTCTCCACCGGTGGGGCCTTGGGGTCTCGGGGCAACATACTGGGCCTCAAGACTAGTCCTTATGAGTGTTTCAAGAAGCTTCGGATATAATGTACCCCAAAAGCCGATTCAAATATTCCAACCCCCGATATCAACGCTATTGGGGTTTTCGGGCTTTGGGGGTTCAGGCCTGTGGGGCCAAAGGAGGCAGGGATTGGGGTCTTTCGGATGTGGGCCCGTTCTGAGCTCAACACCAGACTTTGTTGAAAAAGCCCAACATCCCCACAAATCTCCGAATGCTGCAAAAGGGCGAACAGTTTGGGGTTTGCTTGCGGCAGCTGAAAATTATCAGCACAAATCTCCTGGTGATGCTAGCAAGTGGCATTCAGGCCTCCAGTGACGACATCCTCGTATAGACCCCAAACTGAACAGAAGGATCCATTAATCTAAAGACGCCCCAATTCAGGTATATACATGTTCCCCTGAAAGTGAGGCAACTTTACGACTTCTTCCGGGAGGTGCTGCTTTGCAGCAGCCTCCGCCAGACCAATGAGTCCCAAGTCCAGTTTCAGGGGCTTCGGCTTTCAGGGTTCTCGTGAAAGAACTTAATTCAACTTACCCGACTAGGGAAGCCACATTGTTATCTCATGCTATAGGTCCCTGTTATCGAAAGTTAAACAAAGTTCCCTGACAAGAACCCAGGTTTAAGGTGCAGGACGCTTAGACTTAGGGCGCACCATCACCCGGACAGGCGGATGCGCTGAGTGCCCCGTCCGGTGCGCGTGCAGCTATACAGGCCCGGCTTCCAATTTTGAGCTTTGGGATGCTCAGATGACTGGTGCAATGCTGTTGGGCTCTCATACACCCTACATGTATTTGAACCTCAAGTGTTTTAGGGTTGTTCGGGCCTCGAGTAAGCAAGGGCCTACAGGCATGCGGATAGGTGGTTTTAGAATTATGTATAATGCTTCGAAGCACAATGTCGAGGCAGGCTAAAGTCTATATTGGGGGCTCTAGTAGCATTTTTCGAAATCGAAGTCTAAGATCCCTAGCAAGTCCCCATGTAGTCAGGTTTAGGTTTTAGGGTTTGTACCTCCTGTAGCGAGATTTTGCTGCACCTGCGTAGGCCGCACGTTGTTGATATGCTTGAGCTGGCGAAAGCGCTTCTTGCTGGTTTGCAAGAGTCTCCACTAGAGAAATGCAGAACTCGACAGGTTCCGGATTTGCAAGTCTTTGCCTTTTATGGGCTGAACAAAGTTCCCTGGCGCCAAGATGCATGTTGTCAATCTATGACTAGCAAGCTCTATCCTAGCCGTGTTTAGCTCCGCGATGGCAGGCCTTCCTGGCTGAGAATAGTGAGGCCCCTCATCGCAGGGTTTCGGGTCTGAGGCTTGGGTATAGCACTGAGTCAGGCTGTGAGTTTGAGACTTTAGGAACGCCCCTGTTTGGGGTATTTATGGAGCTTCAATTTCCTCTCTAGCCTGCGCACCAGGTGGGGCGCCATTAGGGTGCAGGGGTTGAGTATATTCCTTGGGGTCTCAGGGTTCAGGGTTTGGGACCTTGGGGTCTGGGACTTAGAGTTCTTTGGTTTCAAATACTAGCCTTTTTTGCATGAACCGTCGGCATCCCAAGCATGACAGGCATGTGTTGGTTTCAACCTCGCTTTTCGAACCCTTTTCGATAAACAGCTGTGACACGAGCCCTCCTGCGTGAACACTGCAGCCTACACCTCCGCCGTATACAGTATACCGTCCATTTCCTTGAACACATTCCGTGTTTTCCTGTACCTCCCCCTGAGCCTTACACCTTTCCCTAAGCTTTCAACATTTAAGCATTTCCCTTGAACTCTTTCCTCAATCCCTACGAGACCTAAACATCTTCGTCCCACCCTATAGTATCACCTAAACCGTATCGGTTGATCGTTTTATCAATCCTGCAAGCTCTACCAAGGAAAGATCGGACCCTGCATCCTATATGACCTAAACCCACCCTTATCCCCAAACCCCTATGCCCTTTTCGGACCCCTATAAACCCCCTTTCCCCAAAATCCGCAGATCTCAGTGGCAGCAGAGGGCCCCGGGAAAGCCAAGGGCTACGAGTTCGGCTCCGAATCTCGGCGGGCTTCATCGTTTTTTTGGGTTTAGGTATCTATCGTTGTCATTAGTTTTAAGAATTTAAGGATTTATCGTATTTGTTTACTTTTTTTCAGGATTGATCGTCTTCGTTAGTTTAAGGATTTAGGGGTTCATCGTCTTTACAAGTTAAAGGGTTATGTGGCGGTCTAGTATGAATGTTGTCGAAAAGCCTAAGGAATGAGCTACAAGATATGATATATCCGTATTGGTTGTTCTTCATGCTTGCATGACCCTGTGATGCATGTTGAAGTGATGTATCGTGGGTACCGTTTTGGATGCTGTGAACTAGTTCTGTGGCCTGCGGCATGAATGTAATTGGCCTGAACGTAAAGTGCTTGCCAACAAGCAGTCATTCCATGAATTGATGCCGACACTGTACTTTGAAGCGTCATCGTTTCTGTTCAACCCAGCAAACCTCGCGTGTGGGCATAGACCTCAGCCATGTGAGAGGCAAAACCGTATTCGTGCTTCTAGATTGCACTTGAAACCGTTCAGCGTCGTATACAGTGTAGTGTGCTGGTCCATTCAAGATGGAGGGGACCTGGTTCACATCACCCGAAAGGTAGGATGAAACTTAGCATTTCGTCCTCCGGGGCCAGAGAGTTCAGCTGTGAGCTCAGCATCCTAGGGCTGGAGATAGACAATCTAGCACCGAGTTGGGTTCTCAGCTGTCTTGCCTTGCATCCTCAAGTAAAACATTTTCTTTTGGTGTGTGTGCCTGCTCCGGCACTAGAGGACAAAATCCTGGACCTGCTGAAACAGTTGGAGGGCAAGTTCAAGAAGGAGCGGATGACCATGGAGAAGGAGGAAATGGACAAGAAGTGCACCTGCCGCAGTCGGAGATGTAGGGGCAGGGGCTCTTCTTCAGAACATGCTAAAGATCGGGCAATTGGCAAAACCCTTGCCTTGTCAGGACCGTAGCTAAATCGGGAACCTACTTTATGGTTATTTTGGGCACAGGTGTCTTGAGCAACTGCCGTTTGAAGTGCTGAAGGCTAGAAGCGCCAAGCTCAAGAATCCCTATCTCGTCGACCCTGGAAGCCCTAAAGCATGCACCAGGGAGGACGTTTGGAGACAAAAAGCAGTGGAACCCATGGAAACCACGCAAATGCAAATCGTAGAAAACCTGAACCCTCTTGGCAACAGGCTCTTGAAAACATCAAAGAGAAACGTACGAGAGGCAAAACTAGAAAGCCCTAAACCACGTAAGCCCTTAACGGCCCCTTGTTAACAGATAATGGTTACTACTCATGACTAGCATACCTTATTAGCAGAATACAAATAAATATGTGCACAAAACATAATATGATTAATGAAAATCAAAAAAGACCCTGGCCTTGAATCCCAAACTTCACAGGGAAACATCAGTGTAAACACAGATGTTTCGACGTCCGTTGTTTAATGGCCCTACTATTAGGATCTCTACTCGCTATGGGGAGGGTGTTCATTCATCAAGGGGGGTCTACATTCAGACAAAGAAAGGCTGTGCCGCGGCCTTGCTATAACCCTATACCCTTCAGTAAATGTTGTCAAACCAGACTTCTACCATCTAAGCCCAAGTACCTCCATTCGGTTCTTTGGACCCTTAGAACCCCTATTAAACCCCCTACATTTCAATTGTAATTACAAGCCTTCTAGACATTCCTAGACCCTTTTTAAATTTGACACTTGTCTTGCATTTTGAGGGAAGGCCACCAGGCCCCTTTCAAAAGCAACCCTGAACCCGAAACCCCGGCCCTTCAAACCCGTCTAAAAACCACCCAAAACAACACCCTAACTCCTGGACCGTAACAACTCTTCAAAATCTCAACCCTAAACCCTGAAACCCTGAACCCCTAAAGACACTAAGCCCTAAAACCAAACCCTCAACCCCCAAGGCCCTAAACCCTGAACCCTAAGTAATCCCTAAACCCTATAGATCCCTTTTGAAAGGAACCCCAGAGCCCTTTAAGAATCAAGCCCTAGACCCCCAAAGCCCTAAAACCCTAAATCCTCAAGCCCCAAAGCCCTAAACCCTGAGCCCTAGAGAGGCACTCCTATGAGCTCCTCCTGCAGACCTGGAAGTCTCAAATCGCCGGGGCGGAGAAGACTCGAGATGACAAGGCCAGAGGATGTCAGAGGCTTTTGGTAGGGTGCAGGAGTGTGGGGTTTGTAGGGTTGGGAGGGGTGTGGGAGTGTAAGGTTTAGGGTAGGGTGTTGGAGTGTAGGGTTTGGGCTCGTATTCCGAGGCTTTTGGTAGGGTGTAGGAGTCTAGGGTTTAGAATATTCAGAGGTTTCTGGTAGGAGTGGAGGGTTTAGGGTAGAGTTTTGAGGCCGTTTTTGATGCTATTTGTGATGACGATTTCGTTTTCCTAGTTTACATAGACACAGAGTGGTTGGGATGATGTTTTGTTTGGTCTATTTCGCATCGTGTTTTAGATTTGAGGTTTGACTGGCCTGATAGGCATACGAATTACTCCAAATGTCTGGCCTAGGTCTTGCGGTTGAGGGTTTAGGTGTTCCATGGATCTGGAATCCAGAGTAGCTCATGCTCCGGGTTCGCGTGCTGGCATTCATGGATGGCTAGGGGGCATGCATGAGACTAACCACTTATGGGGGTTCAGGCTTTGAGGTTGAGGATTGACGGCTCCGAGTGAAGATGCGTGGACCGTTTTTCACCAGTGCCCACAGGCTCCATTGTAGTTCCTGTTTGCGGGTTACTTTTACTTTATAGGATCCTAGATACAAACCAGAAAAAGGAACTATAATGGAGCCTATAGGTCAGGCCACCACGTAAAACCATATCCGATGCTTGTCTAAAACCCAAAATGCGCTTGGTAGCTTGGCAAGGTGGCATCGAAGTTGAAGAAGGAGCAGACCAAGGCCTGCCGTTTTTTTTTTTGGGGGGGGGGGAAGGGGGGAAGTGGCTTTAGAAGCCCAAAACGGGTAAGGGTTTAGGGTTTAGGGTTTTGGCAACCCTGATCTCGAAATAGGCCCTTGACGCCAAACGCTTGCATCCTGCACCGAAGCACCCAAACCCTAACGCGCGCGACCCTAAGCAAGCACCAAAACCGAAACCTTGATCTTGAAAGCCCATTGAATATGATTACTTAGGGTTCCTTGTTAGAATATATACTACGAGGGAGCCCAAAAGCATTTTCGAGTTGCTAGCTAAGGCCCCTGACGCCCTAAGCCACTCTTAAAAGTACCCCTTGTCGTTATAAGCCAACCTTGTGGAACACTGGTAGGAACACTGAAGCCCCATAACCCGAACAAAACCATAACGAGAAGCAGCGACCCTGGAACCCAAAACGAACCCTAAAGCCCCGAAGCTCAAAGACCAAAGCCGTAGACCCTAAAGCCTAAAAACTCCAAACCCTAAACCCTACACCCCAGGGCCTAAGCACCAACACCCAAACGCTTTAAAGCCAACCTTATTGAGGTTCCTTGTTTATGCATTCCATATAACTAAGTCATTACAAGCTGGGAAATTGAGGGTCCCAGCCCCTAAACCCAAAACTCGAATCCTTAATCCCCGAACTCTAAACCCTAAATCCAAGCATGGCCGAGAGGGACACCCTTTATCCGAAACCCTAACCCCTAAACGAAGAGATTCGTGAATTGAAGGGGGCCAATGGTCAGGGACGAGATCGTACTCCCCATACAGCTTCTGAACGTTGAGGAAGGGACTACTGTCTGGGAGTACAACTGAGATGATGGGAGCAACTCCCACCTCTACCAGTACAACACTGGGGTCGTGCAGTGTCCTTACTTCCTCAATTTTATTTGTTGCTATTCGTGCTCCTCGAGTTCGTCTACGTGGACTACATCTTTGGTGTGCTGGAAATGTCCTGCGAATTTGGGAACATCTACATGACTGCCTCTTGGGTGCTCCTAGCTATGTGCTCGAATAGTACTACCTCTACCACTACTACTAGCAGCGCGCTTGGTGAAGGGTAACCTGCAAGATGCTTGGGACGTGACCTTCGAGGTGTTCTACATTCCATGAGTGAGGGTTTGACTTCATGGCAGATATTTTCTGTTGGGTGCCGGACTCGGCGGGCATAACGAAGGTGCGTCATCCCGACTTAAACCAAACTTAAGCCCTAAACCCTTTTGTCCGAGTTGTGAGAGCGTAAACCCTACGCCTTTCGAAAAGTTAGAAAGCCGGTTCCAGCTTTCTTGGTAGTACTCGACCGGAGCCGCTAAGAAGAAAGACCCTCCAAGAACAAAAGCACCTAAGCCCAAAACTCTAAACTCTATAATCCCTAAAGACCCTATCCAGGCCAGTAAGGAGAAGGACCTGGCCGACCTCGTCAAGCTCAGCCAGGATGTTGTTTTTTGTTTAGGAACTTTAGGAATTTGAGGGTTTAGGGCTTTAGGGATGTGAGGGTTTAGAGCTTTGCGGTTGTAGGGCTTAGAAATTTTGACGGGCTTAAGGGGCTGACGGGTTGCAGGTTTTGGGTTAACGGGCTTGCGCTTTTTGGGGGTTGCAGGGTTCATCGTACGGCGGTATGAAATTTTGGTTCGCTTACAAGGGTTTCAGGAGTGTTTGTGGCCATGGCAGCCTAAACCCTAAACCCCTAACCCCTAAACCCTAAAAGGACGACACAAAGTACCCGGAAGATGTCAAGGTCACTTGCACACAGAAGGCCGAGGACTTCAAGGCGGGATTTAGGGTTTGGGGTTATGGATGGTTTACGATGTCCTCGATTCTCTGGAAGAGGGAGAGAGTCAAGAGCATGTGTGTGTTTTTCTTCATCGCTGTGGTGACTGTAAGCGCCCCCAGCTGTGCAGTCTCCTGACGAGAAATCAAATTGCCAAGCCATTTTGCATATACCATCACAGCTCTTTTAGCCCTTGTCTCAGAAGACCCCGTCTAAGCAAGAGCCTCCCTAACGCAAGACCCTATCTATCAAAAGACCTTGCCTTACCTTAAACCTTGTTTAAGACAAGACCCTGATACGTAGTATGGCTACTCGGTTTGTGATGGGTGCGTGTTTGTCTCTTGCATGGTTTGCTTATTGCTTGTTTACTTGTTTGATGATGTATGCATGTACATCTTGCTTTCTACTTGGTTTACTTGACTACACATTGTGTTTATTGTTTTGAACATGTGGTTTATTTACTCAGTTAATGAGTTAGTCAGCAGCAGGTTAGTGAGCGAGCTAGCTGGATGGCTGGGTGGTTAGTTATCTAGCTATAGGTAGCTAGCCAGTCAGTTGGCTAGTTGGTATGCACACACCGAGCAGGGACAGCAGACGATTCAATAATACAAAAACATACCTGTATGTGCGTACGTGTAATATATATATATATAATATGCGGATGATATGCGGATGCGCATATATGTACGTAATACATCTATAGGCACATGCATACATATTTGGTCTTGCAATTTTCGTTTGAATATTCCGGGCGTCTGCAGTTTTGGACTCAGTATTAAACGAGGTCGAGGTAGGGCATGCCGAGCAGAGCGAGCTAGATCGAAGGGCCGATTCAAGTATCTACTCATCCAGAACTCCTGTCCTCGATCATTCAACCCTAAACCTAAACCCAACACCTTGGACCAAAAACCTCGAACCACAATCAGCCCTCAAAGCTTACCTTAACCCCACCACTGAAGCCTCAAACCACATCGCTTTTTCGGGCGGGACTCATCTTGAGCCCGCAAGCCTTGCTTCTTTCACAGCGGTCTGAGTCCAACACAGAGTCTTCCCAGGGGTTTAGGGTTTAGGGCCTTGTACAGTGCAGAACCCCCTGGCCCATTTACTCATGGTCCCTATGTATACCACGGCACCACCAAGTCGAAACCTGAAACAAAGAACTTGCACCAACCCCC